AAAATTAGAAAATAAATTATAAATGTATTTATTATTAAAGGAAAAAATGATTGTCAGCGTGCTTGTATAATAGTACATTTAGGTACTTATACCTATTATTGAACTGCAGCGATTAACATGCGTGAATGGTCAGTCGGATTATCATAGTACGTGTATTTTTTCAATTTAATTTCAGTGTCAAATCGCCAAATCCGTCTATATACATCAGGTACGTATGCAACAGTGTGTATGGTGTATCTACAGCGATTATCACGGGTTTACATTACATGCGATTAACTCTCCGGAATTCGATATAATTACGATACTATTGTGTGTATAAATGTAAAACATTATGTATATGTAATATGTATACACGTTCGGGACAATGAAAACTACTCGAGTTGTGGTTCATGATGGTCATCAGTGCCTATATTGGCTATGTATATAATAATATATATATATATAGGTAAGCAAGTATGTACACTTGTATACATATAGTATATTAGTATGTCTGTACATATATAATAACGAGCGTAACATAAGTGCACGCCACTTTTTATTGAGATCAAATCTGGGAATTTTTTATCCGTCGAAGGACACCCGGACCGGCCACCAAGGAGGTGAGATCAACAAATTGTTTTTATTTGTTCGTTATAAACATATTATACGGACAATTTTCCCCTTAGGCGACGTCATATGTTTAAAAAAACACACACACACATCATTGTTGTACTACATGCATTATATACGCGAACACACCCGTACAATATTGTCTAAATATATATAATATACATAGGTACATAATATTATTTTTATTATTGTATATAATATTATGTAGCTCGTGCAGTCGTTTTTTTGTACAACTCGCGCGTTTTGTGTGTAAAACAATCCGAATATAATGACGATATAATAATATGCGCTTTTTCTTTTTTTTTTTTTTTGCAATAACTTGAAGGCTATAATGTCCAGTTTCTGCTGCGCGATGGGTAGGAGATTTCACGATTTTTTTCAATGTTAAATTACGCACCTACCTATATATTATATTATAGTAGAACTATAGGTACCATGATAATAAATTATGTTTCGAAATCGCGCAAGGGACTTATTGTGATGATGACACGTGCAGGTTTTCATCTTTGTATATATTGTAAATTATAGTATACACAATATACCTATCGTCCAGTCACTCCAGTGTATCTGTACATACGAACTACGAAGTAACGTAATAATAATAATAATAATAATAATAATAAAAATAATATTGTTATTACGATTTACGAGTCGACGAGATTACTTGGGTAGGTTATTGAAATTAAGTAGGTATGCGTGGGTTGTTCAGACATTCGGGGCGTTAATGTACGTAATAGGTACGATACTTATAATATCCTTTTTTTGTCGACGACCTGTTGATGTACATAATAGATAAGAGTAAAGAACTCATTGTTTTTGATATTATATCGTCTACATTATCCGAGGAATAATGGTCGAAAATACGCTCACGTCTGTATGTAATAATATGCGATTACACATTTAACTATTAAAGTGGCGTAAGTGCGTAACTATACTTATTATGTACACCGTATACCCCAATACCTGTTATTATATATACTGTATAGTGTATATAGATGTAATGAATTATCCGATTTTAAAAGTAAAATATTCGTAACAGTCACGGAAGTGCTTCGATAATAATGTTCTTCTCCGCGGACGATCTGCCACTAAAATTATTATTATGTATAAGTACCCTTACACCGGACGCGGACTAACAAAATCGGAACAACTGCATATTACCGAGAAATATTCGGCAAAATCACGTCTGGACGATTATAGTTTTGTAAATTGCATCTCGATTCAATTTTCAAGTTATACAGTAATACTACTAATACTAGCATCAGACAACATTATAACTGTATAAATATACGATGTAGGTACGCCCGGTCAAATGTTAGTCTGCAAGACCAACATACACAGTATATACTATTATGCCGTATACACTATATACACCATCATAATAATTATTAAGCTTATGCACTATTCTTAAGTACCCTTCAAAATTATTTCTTTTATGATGTTTTACGTCGATCTTTTTTTAAAGACTGACGAATTTTGCGCAACGATGCCGACTAATAATACGCAGTCTTCGGAAATATATATTTTTTTTAATAAAGATGCATAGGTCATATTGTATACTGGCATCATACAGCATATTGCATCATGAAAACTTTATTTTTTTCTTATGTGAGCACGGTAATGGTATTTTTATTTTTATTATTTTGATTCATTAGACCGACGATTGAATAGTGAACCACTGCAATATAATATAATAGATAGAGAATGATGCACGTTTTAAAATTATTTCATTAATTGTATAGTTACCCATAAAGCCATAAATATGTCATCATTATACAAAAATAGGTTGTGAAATTATATAATTTGTGCAGAATTATGAATGAACGATTTTAATAAGGTCGATTAGTCAAACGAATAATATTATAATTATACCAACTCGTCGACCACTAGGTTGTACACAAAACAACAATATATAGCTATGGATAAGTATTAGTTATAATAATTATATGCTTTGTAGAAGTATATATTGTCAGAAACTTAAAAACATTATTATTTAATATTTTATAATTACGATATTGGAGGGTTGTATGGAATGCTGTACAGTAAATCTCCTTTTTCAAATTTATTTTATTAAATACAATATTCATTCATACTTTATATTGTAAGCAATCATCTCAACCATCAAATTAACTTATTGTGCAACGTCTTGCTATAGTAGTTAGGGTACTCCAATACTTCATGTGCCTACACAATATGTGCATTCAATATTAACGAATCTATAATCAATGAAATAATGTTGTAACTTATATCTTATAAATATATATATATATGTATCATAGATTATTTCAACTTCTATATTATGTTCTAATATATTCAATTATACATATCGACGTAATATAATAGCAGTGAGAAAAAAAAATCAATAAGGGGCGATCAAATCTCATCACCCTTCCCCTATACTAAATATAGTTTTAGTCTGAAATATATTTACTATTATATAAAAGTAAACTGTGATAATGATTTATACATATTATTATATCAGCATACTTAATATACATTATCACATGTCATATAATACGATTATATTACATATATTTACTCAGTGCTTAAATTTAGTTATATTACAAATATTGAAATTGAATATTGATTTAAAACCCTTAGGCTAAAGCTTATTCCCTACCATTTTTTAATAGCATGGTGAATGGTGATTTATAAAAACTTTTTTTTATATAATATTATTTTTTTTTAATGATAAAATAGATATAGATATATCATAGTGTTTTTTATGCATTCGTCGATTTTCTTTATCGGAAGTAATAAAAGGGTTAGGTTAAAATGTGTGACGCAACAGTTCGTCTAGTTTTAACAAAATCCGCACATTTTTTTTAGTTAAGGCATACAACTTTAAAATCTTGCCAGATAAAAATATAAAACTACCCTTGTTTTTTTAAATTTTTTCCTCTAGATATTCACTCACCCCCCTTTTTCTTATCAAAGATTAAAATTAGCCGTTATTGCTCGTAAATCAATCCAAATAAGTTTTTCAACTCTGATGAGTATAGGCACGCAATAATAAATGTGAAAGCGGTTGCGAATAGTAATAAAATACCTAACTTTCCAGTTTTGGATTCTTATGACTGTGGATTTATATCATTTATATTTATTCATTTTTGTAAATTTTGGTTCAACTAATGAAAATAATACACATCGATTACCGTTTAATATAAACTTTATATTAATAATTTTAATTAATAATATAGTAGTTTAATTCAAGACAGAACACAAATTATACTACCTAATACTTATACTAGAACAAAGCATAATATTGTAATTATATTGTATTTTTTAAGGAGATCAACATCGGTAATCGGTATGGATGGTGAATAAATATAAAATACTATACATATAAATAGTGAATGGGTACTCCCGTACCTACTTATAAAATATTATACTTGTTATTATAGAAAATAGTTAGTCTAGCTCGTATAACAGTCATTCTGTGTTTAATCATGCATGTCTCGCATACGTGTGTACTGTGTATATTGTTTATCGTTTTTCGTTGTATCTATATACCTAAACATTATTATTATTTACTATGTTATTTGGATGCCAGATTATATATACCTACTATAGAGTGTAGCCGTGTACATGGTGTAGTACGTACGTATATAGATAGACACGTAGTATAAATGTAATAGTGTATGTTATTATATGTATATCCATTACCTAGCCACCTAGGTCATACATTAATTATCGACACTTAAATATACAAACAATGAAACATTAAAAAATAATACAGTTTGAATCACGTTCGATCTCACCACGAACATACAACAGTATATACTTTTATAGATTATAAAATATACATTTATAATAAATATAATGGACCGTAATACCGTATATATTATTAATGTATGTATAATAATATAGTTCTTGCCTTATTATCGGTGACGAATAATATTTTATAGTTTTATACCTGTATATTATTTAAAACCAATATTGATTTATAAACAATAAGTTCATTCCTCCTTTTAGTGGCATGCCATTGTAGCTAGGGGACAACTTAACCAACCGTCAGCTTCTATTTATTTTATTTTTCAGAAATTTCTAAGTAGGATCATTTTTTTATAATCTAAAATTATTAATATTTTTTAACTAGTAACATTTTAACGATTTAATCATTTGTGTGTTGGAAAAATGTCAATAAATATATAGGTATATAGTGACTATATATTATATGACATACCTAAACCACAACTATAGCTCGTCTAAAATGTGTTTGTGTATTCCTTATATTATATACGCGTGCCTATGTTTAATATTAAAAATTCAATTAAAATATAACAAAAAATTACTTTTGTCCGTTGCACGCAGCATGATATTATCGTGTACCAGCTATGTTGTAACAATGATTACACCAATTTAAAAAAATATGTATTGTCATTTTACAGGTCAAGCGATGGGCCTCGATGGGGCCAAGGCGTTAATAGTTTTTATTCTTTACGCGTTGAGGCTTCAACAGAAGGCTCAAGCGGACATCAAAGTGGGTAACGCCATCAACGTGTTCAATCGTTATGGATACTTTAGTATAAGTATGAGAGTGGTCCCCAGAAATGACACCGATCATTCGTGGATATTCAGAGAACCCACAGTCGATGTGTTTACGAATCTGCCGGAAAAACAAAGGTAAATATTAAATAGGTATGGAATAAATAATAAATTACGCATATATATTATATTAGTATATGGCGAATACATTCTATTAAAAAGTTTATTGTATCCAAATCTAAAAGAAAAAATTGTATGTTTACCTTAATATTAGTCTCAAGAGAAGCATCGGAGGTGGTGGAGGTCAAGTATTCCAAGGGGACTTCCACATGGAATTTTGTGATAACGTAAAACAATTATTGCAAGCTTACTTTAGAGATTTTTCCGTAGAGAGGCTGGACAAGCCGTGGCAGGCGTTTACGGGTAGCTGGTCGAAATTCACGTTGGCCAGAAATTTAGGTTTGTTGAATAATGCACATTTATATTATACACACAGGTCACATATGACAAATTACTGCAGATAAGCCAACATTAAACGAGCTTTAACCGAACGTTAATTAGGTACAAGGTACCTATCACCTAAATGGTGTATAATATGGTACAATGGCTAAATACATTTTCACTCGTGCATAAACAGGTACCAAAAAATTAATTGATCTAGTTTATTTCGAAACAATGCGCTACCAACAATATTCTGCCTTCATGTATTATTATTTATTATTTACCTACTAACCATCGGTGTATATAATATTTCAATGCAGGTTTAGACGTGTCTTATGTAACCGGCGATCATTGTTATGTTCTCGTCAGGGTGGCTAGGCATAGGGAGACTGCCGATTTAGAAATGGATATGGAGAGCACCGACCTTCACGAGCCAGTGGCCAAACAGGTGGCCTCTGTTAATGTCGGCGATAGTTTGTCGGTCATTGAATTCGTCAGGAGTTTTGGATCTCATTACGTGACGTCATATGTCACAGGCAATTCTCTCTATCAGGCAAGTGTTCATTGTTTTACCTACCTACTGCAGTTAATCTATGGGCAATTAAAATTTAAAGCCCAAACACAGCCATATAGTTTATTACAATATAATGACACGAGATAGTACGACACTGAATTGGTTGTAAAACTATTGCTCAAGAGAGGTTATTAATAAATCTGCAGAAAATATAGGTACCAATTACCTACTGGCTACCAGATGTATTCGATTAGGTTGCTATCTGAACTCTGGAGTAATATTGCAAGTTATTTTATCAGATTCTTTTTCCCCACCCAATAAAATAAATGTCAATAACTACAATTATTATTACAAAAAAGTTTGCAAATGGCTGCTCTAGAATCTTTTAAACTTCAAACTTTCTTTTAACTGTTTCTAATTATTCTATACAAAACGCATGACCTTAATATTATATAATTCACATAAACGCTTTTAAAAAAATAAAAATATTCAATATATTCAAAATTATTCTATTCAAAATAAAAATTTGACCTTCTCTAGCATTTTGATATTTTTAATCATTTAAGATACGATAAGCTTTTCCTCGAGTGATTTATGAAAATGATGTTATTGCAGTATACTTAGTAATCTGAGTAGTAAAAACATTTGATTGTAAACTTAATTGATTTTATTAGAATAGATATTATAAAGTACGAAATAGTCAGAACAAATTTAAGTATATTTATTTACAAGGCCATATTTACAGAGACGAGGTAGAGGAAAAACTTTTTATTTTTATAATAATTAATTAATTAATTATTTAACCAACTATTAGCTACACAAAATTTTTTTAAAATAAAACAACAAATTCCCCTTCCGATATCTGTGCTTCCTCATTTTATAATAATTATAAATAATCATTAAAATGTATTGCATAGATTATATTAAAACATATATACTACCTACATAATATATTTGTATTTAACTAGATATGTGAACAAATTATATTATGATTAAATTAACCCCATATTATGGTGATATTTATTAGTATATAGCTCGATTTGTTGGTGCCTCTCCTCCCACCATTAGATTTTTCAAATAATTCACTGCTACCTATCTATGATACTTATATATTTAATTTGTATTAACTTTTTAGGTGTATGTATACGCTCCAAACGCTTACAAAGTAATTAAAGAACGTTTAAAAGCAAAAGGCGTGTCACAGATCTCTAATCAAGAGTTAATTGGATACTTCTCACCGTGGTACGCAGAACATGTGGGTAAAATACAATCAGCCAGTGGTAATGCAACTGTTGAAAATTGGGCACACCAAAGACTAAGAGTGAAATTTTTCGTCTTTGGTTTTGCCTCTTTGCTGAAATTGCATGGAGACACGAAACTGTTGAGTGAACTGAATGGAATGTTAGGCAATGAAGCATTACTCAAGCTCGACTTAAAAACCTTGGCGCCGGCTTTTAAGGACATTCAAAAACGTGCTTGGTTCCACGAAGTAATGGATAATAATTTAAAACTATGGGAAGTTAATATGTAATAAAAAAAAATTCCTATAAAACCCAATACTACAGTGTATTTATTATAGTAGTTTTACTAATTTTTTTAAGGTAAGTACCTCCACCTTTTCGCTCAAATGCCAAATACTAAATGTACCTAAAATCATTACCTATATAATATACCATTTTAGTATGTTTTCTTGTTGAGCAACTAGTATTGTATTATAAATAATTATTGATCGTATATGTTTTTAATAAAGTCTTTATTTATGTAAGTTACAAACAAAAATTATTGTCATTTGTTTTTTATTGAGTTACAAACAAAAATTATTGTCATTTGTATTTTATTGTCATACAGTATACTTAATAATATGTGGTAATTAATATTAAAAACTAAGACTAGATAATATGACTAGTAATAATTATAAAATAGGTACTTAAAACAAAAAAATACATTTTATTTACCTAGTATAAAAAAAAAATATTAAATTATTTAAATTAATATAAAATATTGTATAATTGTTTAAAATAACTAATGCAAAGTTACAAAAATCTGTCCCTTAATTACTCTCATTGCTTCTCCATTGCGGTATTACATAAGTAACTATGAACTAACAATTTACCAACTGATATTTTAAGTTTATCAGTAGAAATCTACAATCTTTAGTTCTTGAATTGGTAAAATATAGTTACAAAGTTTGAATATTTGAATTTGTGTTTCTAATTGTTAAATGACTTTTGATTTAAACAACTTAAGTAAGTTAATTTTTTAAAGAGAAGAGGTTCCAACCCTTACTTTCCCTACCAATCCAAGCATGAGAGCAGTGGCGTGATGAATTATTTTTATGAAGCAACTATTTAAAAAAGTACCCACAACCCACAAAACAATTGTTTTTGGATTAATGTGGATTGCCAAACCCAATACATACAGTACATAAATTATTCGTTAATTATAAATGAGTCTATCATTAAGATATCCGTCACCACTTTTACGTTGAGTAAAAGCTTCATAAAATATTCATGCCGCCACTGCACGACAATAGGGATGTCCACTGTGTATTTACTAATCATAAAATGTGTTTGTTATACAATATTCAAAAAATTAATTTGTGTAATGAGAATACTTAGGCACATCAACATACTTTATAATAAATAATCATAATAACTGTACATTTCTTATACAATTATAGGTATACTAATATAACATGTATACATAAGGTATATTTATTAATAATAAATGAATAAATCCTTTTTTGTACCTTATTTTATGGTTATATGTCGTATAAATATTTGTAATACAATTATTTTACAAGGTATACAAGGCCATTACTGGGTTAATATTTAAGGGGGAGGGTTACATTTTATATGGGCCCAAGGTTCACCAAGCTCTGCTCCCTGTGGAAATCCACTTCCATAGTTACAAAGAAAGAAAAAATTCAGTGTTTAAACTCTTAACCATCCCCCATATGTCCGTATATTGCCTTACAGGTATGTAAAAATAAGTTTATATTTTGAACAGTCAAGAATAATTATTAAAAATTAAAATACATAGGTAATTCAGTAATTGCAACATGCAAGGAAATAAAAATAAAAATAATATATAAATGTGGTTTTATAATTAGTATACCTAAATGAAATATGTATAAATAGGCCTATATTTATAATAGAAAAAATAATTCATTCTTATGAGTTATATACTTGTAAGTATAGATAAAAAAAAATTATAACAATGTATAAACTGTATTATATTATACATTTGAAATTATTTTGAAACTTGTTTAATGTAATAGGTACTTACTAGTTACTACCTACACATAGTTGTAAATTGTAATAATCTGACCTATATATTATTTCAGCATACAACTTTATCAAAATATTATAATACAGATTTATAGACTATAGTAGAATTTATGGCTAAACAAATCACAAATTTAAAATTCTAACACTTTAGAGCACATATTAACTCAATAAATCATATTTGGCTCAACTCAAGTAATCTAACTATAAAACTAGTAATAAACTTTGTTGGTTATTTCAAAACATTTTTCAAGTTTCACAGTAACCTACTGAATTATAGGAAATATATAATTCATCAAATATATACTATTTTTTTTTAAATATAAAAATCATTAAATAAAAAAAAAACAAATTGTTAATGTATTAAAAAATAATACATATATCTTATAACTGTTATAAGTATCCTACATAATATTAGTCTTACAAAAAAAAAAAAAGAATACCAGAAATAAAGGATTTAAATACTTAAAAAATTATTATACCAATGTACTTTAAAATATATCGGATAGTCATTATTAGGACTCGGATTTCAATGCATTTGCATTTTTTCCCTGGGATGTTTGACAAGGTGCTTTCCAAGATATAAATGTGTTTCAAGCACACATTATGCTAAGAACAAACGTTTTTAGGGAATCTTCGGAGGTTTCTAATGTTATTTTTATGGCATATAAATCAGAGGCCTATTTATTGTTTTTAACTAAACATAGTATGTCAAAGAAATTTTTCCTACTTTATGATAAAGTAAGATTGGGGTAGTTTTGATAATAGTCTATATTAGTTTTCTATGTATGGAAATATCTGAAATTGGACTAGGTACCTAACTGTTACAAGTCCTAAATATTTAATTATTTCATCTGGTTTATACAGTTCATTAAGAACAATATATATTTAATCAATAATCATCATGAAAACATTAAAAAATTAATATTGATATTATATTAGGCATTACTATAATCTGTAAAAATAAGAACAGACCTCGGCTGCGGTCAGACCCATTGTCAGACACTTCCCCTATGAGTCGATTCCCAAGATCAGTGTTTGGGAATGAAGCCATACCCATGAGTAAAAGCCGGCTACTGAATACTATTGTTCTTATTTTGAATAGGGTATAGTCCAATATTATTTACTTGAATTCAAGATAGGTATGGTGATTTTTCATTTTAAAATTACTTATGTACCCTACTTTCATTATGACACACACAATAATGCTACAGTCCCTCTCCATAAAAAAAGTTTGATGTATACCAAAATATTACTCAAATTTATACTTTGACACAATTTAAGTTCCTCGGTAACAATTATTATTAAAGAGCAGATGGCTTATTTTAATGACTGTCATTATCTGATGCAGACTTACTATGTTCCTTTTGGCACTCTAGTTCCTTCATTTTTAATTTTATTTCAGTAACGTTGGCGTGTACATGATTTTCCAATTTTTTCGATTCATCTTCAGATACCTTTTTATGAGCTCGAGCAAAATGTTTTTGGAGTAAAAAGTTTCTTGTAAATGCTGCTTGGCATGAATTACATTTAAAGGGCCTTTCTCCTTTAAATAAACAAATCATAATACATTTAATTGAAACAATAAATAACAAAAATTGATCTTTCTTTTTTTAAATACTTTCAATGACAATATAAATGTTCAAAACAGTTATTTTCATCAAATTAATTTATAACAATATATTTGAACAGTGTCGGCGAAAGGGTAGGGCAGAAGGAGCAGCTGCCCAGGGCCTCACCATTTAAGGGGCCCCGCACTTTTCATGGCAATTGATTAAGCCTACAGTTTTATTTTTCGAATTAAAAATACAAGTCTCGTCTACAGTGGCGGGTTGTGGGTTTTTAATTTAATAATTTGAATACCTATAATAGATGAGTGAGAGTAAAAATAAACCATAATGCCAACAAGCGAAGGCAACATCAAACACGATTTTGATGTTAAAATCTTGAATTTTATTTATTTTTTTTTTTTGTGTAACACTTGTATTTAGTGTACTTGGTGTACCTAAACATTTAATTTGTACGTATTTTATTTTAATAAATATTGAAAAATTCTTACGAGTACCTAAGTACTAGGATGTGCCAGAAATTTGTTTTTGCCCTACGAAAAAAGGTTTCTTGGTCCCATAAAAAAATTTTTCCCCAGGCCACGCAAAACCTCCCGCCAAAGCTGCATTTGAAACAAATAAATATATCTAAAATCTAAGTAGGTAGCATAAAATGAATACCTGTGTGAATGAGTAAATGCCTTTTAAGATCAGTTGTCCACCCAAATTTTTTATTACATAAACTACACTCAAAAGTCTTGTCTTTTTCTTTATTTTTTTTAGTTACTTTCTTTAATGGTTTAACTGGATTATCATTATTTTCTTCATATGTGGCCAAACAATATTTCCAAGGATTGAGTGTTTCCTCCACTGTCAAATTTAATGGCTGAGAAGATCCATAATAGCTGGTTTCTACAGGTTTTTTTTTAGAAGTTGAATTATTTTCATTATTGTCGGCATTAACCAATTTTTCTTCACCAACATGACTAAAAAAATGTACTAATAATGATGTAGCAGAATAAAAACATTTGTGACAATCTGGACATTTTTGAGAATAATCTGAAAATAATTAAATTTAATTGTTAAGTAAATTGGATTGATATTTATTAGAAAGTAAGTATACATTTTCAAAGTACAGTGGAACAACCTAGATAGCTTAAACGCCTGTAAGTTAAATAGTCTTATCTCATTTACAACTGTTCGTATATTTTTTTTTAAGTTACTTTTTTGAAAATACAACAATTTGATTAAACAACCAAAGAAGGTATGTAATATATAGAATTTCTGTTTTTACATTTAATATATCTTTTTTCAAAAAAGGTTTTCTATTGATACCTAATACTAAAATGGGGGAGACCTAATATCAATAGATACAACAATTAATTGTAATAAATTCAAAGTCACAAATAGCTGGGGAAACTAAGACCTTCCTTAAACTGGAAATCTTACACATTTTTAACATTTTTTAAATTTTTTCTATTTTAGTCAAAAAGACTTTATAAGAGTCCAGTATGGACCTGAGCTTAAGCACCCCCAAATAACAAACACTAAATGTGCCTCGTAATAATGATAATATATGGGTACTCTTTATACAACTGTACAATATACTAATGAAAATTCATTAAATATTGACTTTTAACAGCAACAAATAGTCATAAAACATGATCAAAATACATTTGTTATAATTTAAGAAACATTTACCTGTATAAATATTCATCAGATAATGCAATTAAGAAACTTAACTACACATTACATTAAATTTATGAAAAGGTTGAGACAATATTTACATGTATAACAAAATATCACTCGGAACAAAATATTATAAAAACAATTAACTTTTACAGTCTATATCTATTGAACAAAATAATAGGTAGGTTATAGACTTGTAAGTACTTAATAATAGTACAGGTTTAAATAATAATTTAATAGATAAAAGGTATAAGTAATTAGAACATTTATTAGTAAAATAGAACAAAAATGAAAAAGTATCTAATAAGTTTATGTTTATACTTTATATCATTATCATAAAGTTTATGATAATATTGTTTATACTTAAGTTATCTATAGATAATATATTGTATACTATACGTTTATACGTCAGTGAATATAATAATCTATAGAACTCATAACGACATCTATCCTAAACAACAAAATAAATGTGCTATCAGGGTCATAGATAAATTTATTTAAATCTAGGTACCAATATTATAAAATTAGATCTTAGTATGATAGTAAAAGATTCTAAAGCTGAAGAGTTTGTATTGTTGAACGCACTAATCGCATGTAGGTATGATGTATCTCAAAAACTACTGAACCAATTTCAATAAAAATTATATAAATGGATTTCTTGAGACTCAGAGGGTGTTTTTAGTTTCTTTTTTTTCAACTTCTTTAATTCTTCGTAGCCAAAATTACTTACTGTACATACATTTTTATACCTACCTAGGTAGATGGAAATGATTATTATGCTTTTATGATTATATATACTACCCCTACAGGCTACAATCTACATGTACAGCGTAAGTGTTTCCCGATTTTCAGTAGGTATACACTTTGAGAATGATACCTAATAATATGTTAGTGGAATATGCTGAAACCTACTCTCAATATTGCGTTTTGAGGAGTACGGTATTTTAAGAGGTAGGTTTAGTCGGTGTAATAATAGGTATAAAAGGCACTTTTACTGCGATAGTGGTTGGTAGCACAATATTTAGTTGATTAGGTAGGTATAATAGTACCTACTTATTGCATAAACCTTAAATTTTAAACTATGAAAAAAGTAAAATCGGTAAACATATGGCTCATTGTTATTTTTTTACCAAAACATGTAATATGTCCTAAAAAAAGTTCATTCCCCAAGTCCAACCCTTAGGCCCTAATTGATATCTGAGATTTTTCGATGATTTAGTATTGCAATATGTTTTCTATTCAATGAGACAACAGTCGTAATGTGCTCAAAAACATGAGGAAAATTTGCCAAAAAGGTTTTCAACTCCACTCTATCTAATATTAGTAGGTATTAACTATTGCCTAGGTACTTAGAATTTGTACGAAACACTAGGAAACGTTCAATAAGTAAGTACATTTGGACATTTGAGGATCAAATTTTATCAAGACTACGTTCTCATTTAAAAAATCTAAGTATAGGTATGTTCAAAGTTCAACAGTAAAACTTAAATATTGTGTCAACTGTATGTTATTAGGTACTGTGATTTTTGTTTGAATCGGGGACATAAGTCAAATGGTCCCTTTAGAGTAAGCAAATCCGTAACTGCAAAAAATTAGGAGGGACAGGAGGGTCCAACATTTTTTTAAACATAAATAATAGATATACATCGATTGTATACGTTTAAAATATAAAAAACGGCTCAAACTTAATATTAAACTTGTGATCAAAAAATGTCAAAATATTTAAGTTAAAACGTAATTTTAAAATTCCTGTATCTGTTTGGGAAGAACAATATTCATAATTATATTAGTATACCTATTTATTTATTTAAAATAATATTAAATATTAGTTAAAATGTCGTTGTAAACATGAAACAAAAATGCACGGCGATGTAAAAATCATTTAAAAGTAAAAGCATTTGTCTTAGAATAGCAAACAACCCTGTTAGTGCAGCCCAGCTGAATTTCTGACGAAAAACTCAAGTAGGTACGTCATTATACTTTTTTGATATTAGTTTATAACTTATTTAGCAATAGTTATATTATTTGGTACCTAAGTATGGAATATTGAAATTGGAAATTTATTGTAGAAACAAAAATTTGATATAGCATGATCGTACTAAGAAAATTTTTAGGACGTATTTATGCATGAATTGAAGTCATCAATTTCATTAACCACGGGCCGTCGACCCCTCACTAAAATTGCGTAACGGCGGCCCTGCAGAATTAGCACTAATAAAATAATATATATTAACATATTTAACAACAAATAAATAGTAATAACTTAAATAACTTCATAACAGTATGCTAATTACAATTCAACGACAAAAACCTTTATTAAAAACAAAAACACATACAATATATTTTTTTAAATTTTTATTAGATTTAATCAAAGGTTATTATTAATATTTTTAAAATATTTACTAAACAACATTGATGAATTAATAATATTGTTTTTATAATAATGATTTTGCTTATTAATAGTTTCCACAATATCGGGTTAATCATAATTTGTTAATATTTTAATGCAAATATTACCACATATTTTTAGATTTTTGAACATGTTAAATAAATCCATAGACATATATATAAATAATTGTTATATAATGTCCACGATTATATCAACATGTTTTATGTCCTGTCAAAAAATGATATGACAATATTTTAAAAACATTCTTAAACGTTCAATTTCAGAACACTTTTCTGAAAATATTTGATAATATTATAATGCATATTATAATACATATATTTTTTACGAAATACTTTCGAAATATTTTTAAGATATTAAATATTTCGTGAACATTTAATCATTAATATCGTGTAGTGTACTAGTGTGTATTTTGTGTTCTTTAAAAAAAATGTAGTATGTGAACGTGAATTAAAATCAAAAATTAATTTAGGAGCTGAGTTCCCATGCGTCCTCCCCCCCCCACCAAAAAAAGCACCGGCTGTAGCCTGTAGAAATATAATCTTTTACCGACAGCCGGGGTGAAAATCATGACCTTTGTGTTATCACTCATTGTCTCCTTATCGTAGCAAAATGACCCGACGAATGATTTGACGAGTGTTTAGTTGGCTCATCAAACTAAGATCTTCTTGGACCGTTTACCAAACTATCAATTATTATCAAAGATTGGTGGCTATTTTCGTATGATTAGTCATTATTCATTCGTGAACTTGATAAATATTATTAAATAATATTATAATGTTCTCTGACTGAATTGACCGGTATTATGAGATTCAACAGATGATGTTACTTCATATTATTTGTATTTTGAATAAACATAGCAAAGTTGCGTGAGCATAATATCAGTATGCATTATTGTTGTGTTTCGTAGTGTCCCGAGCCGGTCCGCGCCCCGCGAATTTCAAAATGTTAACGCCCTGCGGCCACCCAGCGGGCGCAGACGTGTACCGCCTATCCGTTCGGTCCACGGTCCACTGACTTTCTATTACAATTTACAGTCATAATAATCATAAACTATCACGATATTCACGTACACAAGGATTACTGCATTCGCGTTCACCTTACGAATAATTACGACAGTAGTCTCTCTCACCATATAGTTGCTGTTCACCAGTCACTTGCGACACGGGCTCGTTAATAGACAGTAGTAGACGCGTTCCTACGCTCAATAGTCGCACGTCGGTCACCGTCACACTCGCCGTCGCGTGTTGTTTTTGTTTAGTTCATACCAATCGTCCAGGACTCTTGGGTCACTTGCGTTTTCGGTGTTTGATAAAATATTTTCGTCTACGGCAGGACTGAACCGCAAATCGCGATGGCTGCCGGCAAAGTATTGGTGTACGGAGGAAAAGGAGCGTTGGGATCGACGTGCATATCGTTCCTTTCGTCCCAAAAATATGTAAGCATAATTAATAGGTTGTATGGGTACCTACCAATGAAAAGTATAGTACTGTAAATGCTATTGCCGCTATAGCGCGACTTAAACACGAATGAAAGTATAACTATTCGAGCGATATTATAATAATTATTTGAATCGTTGTGTAATTCGAGGTCACCTCCCTATATGTATAATAGTACAATATTATAGGTTCACGATCATTTGAAAGTGTATAAATAGTTTTACATCGGCAAAATACCTTTTTATATAATATGATTTTCAATCAAATTAGAGTTAATTTAAGCACAAGAAAACTATAAACCCTCTCATAGAAGAGCATTTTACAATTAAAGCCAATTTTATTTCTGAAGCCCAATGAAAACGAATGCATATCATAATTAAATATGATTATATTTGTAAAAATTAGTCTACTGAGATGTTTAACTTAATCAATTCCTATGAGAACCTAATTGTTGAATATTAATAATTAAAAAGTAATCTGAACAAAAATTTAATGATGAAATGTGATTAGTTATGACATATGATCAACAAAAAACAAGTAGATACCTATTCAAATTACTTTTGATAGATCTTTATTTAAAAGCGTTTAAATAATATTTTATAATAATCATTGTAACATTCAAATAACGCATAATTACCTATTTGATTTTATTAATTTTAAGTTTGAAAACACATAAAGTAATAAAATGCTATTCTATATTTCTTACATGCAGTATAAAATAATTAATAAAATAAAAGTGCTTACAGAAATTCCAAGACCATTTAAGTGTTTGAAAAATCAAGTGATAAATAATCAAGTTATGAATACTCTAGGTATATACCTAACTATATTTCTATTAATTTTTGTTGTAGTTCATAGTTTTATTAATATTAACACATCTGTAAATATATTTAAAATAATAAGGTACTTATACATAATTATCTAAGTACTTAGAATTATAATTTCAAAAATGTTCTGTTAGTTGTTAACAATAGGTACATTTAATGTGAAATACTTCTTATGAGCAATTAATTTTACGTTATAAACTGTTTAGGTAATATGAAATAGCCAAATAAACAATCAAACGGTTATTATATATTACATAATGACATAATGGGAATATGTTAAATATACTTTTAATTGACTTATTATATGAATAGTAATTCTATCAATAAATTAATTGATAAACAGTTAAAAGTTAAAACTGACTTTTAAAATATGAATAATACTTTTCAGATGATGTGAATGTATGAATTACATTCTCATACTATTATTGTCGTATACCATAATTATTAATTAGTATATATTTTTAATTTTCAGTGGGTTGGATCAATAGATCTAACAAAAAATGACAATGCAAATGCTAATGTGATTGTGGAACGTGATGCTACAATACTAGAACAAGTAAAACTACCTCACAATAGTTAACCATATAATACGTTAAAACTTAAAATATATCTTACATTTGTAAATAAACTTAAAAATGGGAAGTAGCTTCTCTCTAAATCAAACTGTTATGTTTGTCCTTGTCAAGTATTTTCTGCTAGGTTTGGAGCCATAACAGTTACTTGATACATGACTAATGACTAGGCACTTCATTAAAATATGACTATACCTGGCTGTACTGCATTGAATTCACCTAATTGAAAATACTTATTTTGTGGAGATTTTCATGCTGACAATATGGCTATATCTATATGCTATAAATGAGAAGAAAGCATAAGAAACATGATAGCAGTAGTCAAAAGATTGACAAATCACTCATCCATAATTTTGTCTTTTAATTATTTAGTTCAATCAAGTTAATAAATAATAATTACTTGTGAACAATTGTTAATTAATTATTAAAATTGTCTGTACTTTTTAAGGAATCACAAATTTTGAAGGAGCTGGATTCCGTTTTAGGATCTGAAAAATTAGATGCTGTAATATGTGTTGCCGGTGGTTGGGCCGGAGGTAGCTCAAGCTCTGACGGTAAGTGAACAAAATTATACATATTTAATTTTAATTTTTAGTTTACATAAAAATGTTTTATAAATGTAAATTATAAATTACTGTTTTATTTTTATGTATAGATTTTGTAAAAAATACTGATTTGATGTTAAAACAAAGTGTTTGGAGCTCAGTATTAGCATCATCTATTGCATCTAAGTTCTTAAAACCTGGAGGTATTTTAGTATTGACTGGTGCTAAAGCTGCTCTAGGTCCCACACCAGGAATGATTGGTTATGGTTTAGCTAAAGCAGCAATACATCATTTGACAAAATCGTTGGCCGATGAAAATGGTGGTTTACCAACAGGAGCTCAGGCTCTTTCAATATTGCCTGTCACACTTGACACACCCATGAATCGTAAATGGATGCCTAAAGCTGATACTTCAACTTGGACTCCATTAGAATTTGTTGCTGAGTAAGTAAAGTGCAAACAATACTAAAACAATTTATTCCTTAAATATATTGTACTAGTTTTGATGTGTAGAAAATGTATAACATATATGTGGTTATTATTTCTTCAAAATAATAATTTTTTTTTTACAATTAACAATTTTTAATTTAATTTAGATTATTAATTGAAAATAATAATAATTCACTTATTATTTGTCCGTATTATTATTATTATTATTATCATAACTTATGCATGTCTTTTTAAACCATAATCAAAAATGCAATTTTTTTAATTGTCTTATTTTATTTTTCAGATTATTTTCTAAATGGATTAAAAATGAAGAAAGACCTCCAAATGGTTCACTTGTTCAGTTAAATACAAAGGAGAATAAAACAACTTTAGAATTTGAATAATTCTTTAAATATAGAAAAAAAACATTTAAAACCTTCAAATTTCTGTCTGTTAAATTGTACTTCTTTTTATTTATATATAATAACTACGTACTTAAAAATAAATATATTATGTCCTACTCTATGGATAAGGGTAAAGTTTATAAAGTGTTATTGTAATAAATTTCATTATATTTTACATCAGAAATCGATTGTCATAATATTATATTATTTTAAAACAATAATAACTATTATTTAATAGTATTGATAAAATATACAATAATATAAATGTTTAATAATGTGATGGCGTAGGCACACTCATCAATGGTGATTCCAAATAATCAAAACTTGGCGGTTCTGGTGGAGGTTCTGTATCTGTTGAAATTTTTTCTACAAAGTCTGTGTATAGTTTGTGTACAGCCTCATCGTGTGTTGAACTTGGTTGTAAAACTTTAGTTAATGTACTTAATCTACTTGGTGGTAACTTTGGATAAACATGCCACACTAGTTTTAATACATGTCTAACTACATTTTCTCTGCTGAGTCCAGTACAAAAAAATTCATCAAAAATTACAGTACAAAAGTCTTCAGCAGCAAATTCTTCGACTTGTTGGATTAATAGTGCCACCAAAAAATGAAGAAATGGATCCTCGAAAGCACGGTCATGATCACAGTTGGCCAAAGACCCCAGTATTCTCATTAATGCTAACCTGTCTTTAGCTTTAGCAACATGCAATGTATAATACATGGCAACCGTACAAGCAACGCTACTCTCTTGTATATATGCTTGCACAGCATCTGGAACAGGTCCAGAGTGTTCAATAATAGTAATTGCAGATTCCCTTTCATCAGGAGGCATTTTAGTATTTAAAGCTCTAACTTGATCATCTACCATGAGTGACATCAAGGCAGGCATAAACTTAGTGACTACTTGACTGTCAAGTTTTGGCTCCTTGAAATCTTGGGTGTCAATCATAACCCAAGCGCTCAAACCAAGAGACAACATCCTCAACAACAAAACTAATACATGATTTTCCCTTGGTAAATTTTCATTGTTAATTAAATGATGAAGTATTCGAATAGTTGAAGTCGCTAAGAAGTTAATGGCATATGGATCACATAATGTCATGGATAAATCTCCTAATACTGTTTCATGTCCTCTTTTAATGCTATCTAAAAATCCTTGAAGTTCACGGGATCGTTTAACATCAACATTGCGTTCTCGAATACAAGCATCAAGACACCATGTGAACTTATGACACGGATCAATGGATATAATATCTTGAATTTCCAGATCGTGCAATGCCATCAAAAGTTCAGCTCTTAGTGTACAATAATGTACATTGTGAGTACGCAAGAATAATGTTCTCAAAAATTGCAAAACCATATCGTATAATTTTACACTCGAACCTATCATATGTGCAAGTTTTTGTACTACTTCTCCTTGACGTCTTAATTTCGGAGATGGTGTAAAGAATAAATTAGTCAAATTATTGTGATCGAAAAGAATATTTTCTTTTTCTCTTATGTACTGTGTTAGTAAAGGAGACACTTCATTAACTAATAGTGATTGATTATCCTTCCAAATTTGTCTTTTCACTTCTGTATCTGTGTCTTTATAAAGTTCAGTGTCTTTAACCAATACATTTAAGTATTTATCATCAATATGAGATATGTTTTTCAGAATAGCCATAATTATGGGTCTTAGTTGTTTTATATGAACTGAAGGAAAACTCTTTGCCAACATGTCTTTGAGCTTACGATCCCGGTCACGTCCTTCTTTTTTACCAATTTCTTCAATATGAGCTACTAATTTATCACGCAGCGCTTCTAATATAGAGTTATGAAAATCCAACCGCCGAATGCCATGGAGATCGAGCAAAGGTAACATTTGACGGAGAGACGGTAAATGAATTCCATTGTCTACTTGGAACTCTTCAATAGCTTTTAAGGGATCCGTGCAGTTTGTCAGTGTTTCTAATAAATATGTTTGACCATGTATACCTGATTCAGACTGTTGGTTTTGGTGAACCGTGAACATAGAACGTTGACGTCCACCACTCATTTTGAACGATTTAAATTTGTTTTGTACTACAGCAAAACAAAACTAAATATCAACGATTGAAATGAATTGGTTTGCTCTGGAATACATAACTGCTGATTAAAAAAAAAAAAAAAACCTTATTTGTAACTTGTATATTAGTATATTACGATGACACAATACACATGCTTTAGAGTTAAGAATTTTTAGAACTTCCACATTTCACTTTACAGTTTACTTACAGGTTTACAGTAATTTGATTTTGTGAATTTTTGTTATCAATTGCTGTAAACAAAACAAATAACAATAACATCAATGACGTCATATCAATGATAACAGATTGCTTACACCAAGAACTACAAAAGAAGGAAAAACAGAATAAAAAATTTAATCGATTAAAAAATAGCCGACACATAAGCTTGAACTGAGATCTTGATTTTAAAGAATATTATTAAAAAATATAAAAATATATTAAATTTTATTATCTTAAACCTGGCACAGAAGAATATTTTAACCACATTGTTCTACACTTTAACCATGGTTAAAAGAAAATTGATAATATTATCTAAATACAGATAACATTAAAATTCACCGCTTTTTATCACTTTAAAATATTATTTAATATTTAAAAGTTAAAATGTAATTTTTATTTTATTACAATAGCATTATAATTTATAAAACAATACAATAATTAATTTAGAACTGTATTTTAAAATAATAAAATGCATATCAGAAAATTATTGATGAAACATACCTTACAACAAGTATTAAATCCGCTTAAACTTTCAAGGAATAAGAGCATGAAAACTTTTGATAAACAGTAATATTTCATATTTTAATTCTATCTCAAATGTATCATTATTGTTACATCATATTTGCTTAAAATGTAGTTCTGGTTTATTTCATAATGTCTACCTGTATATTTATTTGGAACAAAATTTGAAATTGATTATGTAGCTATATATTTTTAAGAACAATTTATTATACTTTGCAGTAAATGGAAAAGTGTTGTTGGATTGGAAATACATGCTCAAATTTCAAGTGAATCAAAGTTATTTAGTGCAGCTGGTACCAAATTTGATGCAGTGGTAAATTCACAAGTGGCATTGTTTGATGCTGCAATTCCTGGAACACTTCCTGTATGTTTAAGATAGTTTAATTGCAAATGATTTATATCTATGTATAGAATTAAAACATATAAAGCTTTTTTTTACAGAGTATTAATGAGAAATGTGTTGAAGCAGCCATATTAACTTCGTTAGTATTAAAATGTAATCTAAATACAATATCATCATTTGATCGTAAGCACTACTTTTATGCAGATATGCCGGTAAAATTATATCTTTATTATATACTTATCTAAGCATATTTTTAAGTTGTCACCCTTTGGCTATAAATCAAAAACTACCCCTACCTAGTATTGAATCTAGAAATAACGAAACTTATTGTAAGAAATATTTATTCTTTGTCAGAGAAATAGTCTTGAAGTTAATTGATAATTAAAATATGTGGTCTGTGAACTGTGGTGCCAAATAACATAAATTAACTTTACATGTTAAGTACCTAATAAAATACAAAATAGTTTTGTTTTCATGTTATTGAGGTGGTACATCTGAAATATACATGCATCTAAACCAGCATACAAAGTTTATATTTTATTGCTTCTTTAAATATGCTGTCTTTATGTATCATATAATGTTTACATCTTTAAAACAATTAAATAATAATTATTAATTACCTACTAATTATCTTTAATATTTCTAGGCAGGTTACCAAATAACTCAACAGTTTCATCCAATAGCAGAAAATGGTCAACTTACTTTTCATGTTATAGATCAAAATACAAATATAGTTCCCTATAGTAAAACTTCTTTAATCAAACAAGTACAGCTAGAACAAGATAGCGGCCGCACAATTCATGATGATTCTTCTAAGACGTAATTTCTTTTATTTTTATTTTCAATTATATTTTAAAAACGTAGCCTTTTGTTTTAAAATCATTCAAATTATGTAAATTATATCTTTATTATCAAGTATTTAAATTCCTCGAATAGTGTATATATTTGTAGACCAAGACATCAAGTCATAAAACATTTTTTACCTGATTAATGTTACAAAAATGGATCATACCGTGTAATAACTTCATGTAGAAATCTCTGGTACAAACACAACATGGTTATTGTATATCATTGTATCAGTAATGACTTTCAACGTTGAATGTTTTTTTTTCATACTTGTACAATAAAAAATATATTAAGTTATATTAAATTTAAGTTTCATATAAGAACACTACATGCTGTTACATTTCATGTTAATTTATTTTTTAAAAAATTTGTATTTTATTTAGTTCCCTTATAGATTTAAATCGTGCTGGAACAGGGTTAATGGAACTTGTGTTTGAACCTGATTTGTGTAATGGTCTTGAAGCTTCTGCTTTAGTCAGGGAATTATTACTAATATTTGAACGTATCAAAACATGTTCTGGTCGAATGGAGGGTAGGTACTACTAGACAAGTTTAATAGTTTAAGTTATTGCTTACACTAATCGTATAATATACATTTAGAGCTCAGATCAATTACCTATATGATTTAAGAAACCATCAAATATACATTTATGTTAGAATATATTTTAGTAAATAATTTATTAGAATTACTTTTTTTAAGAAAACTGGTGGTTTTTAATTTTTTTGTTATGTATAAATAAAAATAGTTGTTGAAAATGTATAAACCAAAGTAACCATAAATTTGTTTTATAAAATATAATTCCTGTGCATTTAGTTGCAAAATATTTACTAAAATAAATATGTGTACATGGTATAATAATCATCAGACATTTTTAAAGATCCAAAGTCAAAATTGTCTTAGTATGTAATACTTATAAATTATTATAAATAATATTATAAGTATTTTAATTTTATTATCAAAATGACACTTAACTTGCAAATTTATAATATAATTTAGCCCAACTAGTTACCTAAGTGTTATAACAAATTAATATTGTCAATGAAATAAATTTATTAGTGTTCTTATGGCCCATCAATTTTAGATACATAATAATAATTTGTGCATCTATATTAAATAATACAATCGAATCTGCTTAATTGGGACACCACATAAAAGGGACAATCGCTTAATAGGAACGCTTAAATCTCAATTAAGCGGATATGACTGTAATAACATTTTGAATAAATCAACATATTTTTAACATGATATTTTATGGTTATTATTTTAAGTATTACCATAGTATACATTTTATTTCAATAGTTGTTATTACTTGTATTAATGCTGTATTTTGTATTGAATAGAGGGCGCTTTAAGAGTTGATGCAAATGTTTCAATCACCGATTGTGATCAACTAGGCACACGGACTGAAATAAAAAATTTGGGAAGTATACGAGCTGTACAGTTAGCAGTTGACTATGAAATTTTTCGTCAATTAAACCTGATGAAAGAAGAAAAAGAAGTAGTTAACGAAACAAGAGGATGGGATTCTGTTACTAACAAAACAGTATCAATGAGAGACAAAGAAGTTTTACAAGTAATTTAGTATTAAATTATATACATATATAATACCTATATAATTTATACTATTATTTTATTCTATTGTACCATTTATATATTTATCGATGTAATTTCTTGTAATGTTGTAAGTAATTTGTGTATTATTATTATGCATTATCAACTGTTAAAAAATGTTGAAAAATGTTATCAATAAGTTAATTTTAAAAAAAAGTATTAGGTAAATTATATTATTTAATTTAATAATAAAACATAATTAAAATTTATTCTTTTTAGGATTATCGATTTATGCCAGAACCTAATTTATTACCACTCAATTTAAATATGTTTGATATTAATAAATTACAAACAGAGATACCCGAATTACCAACTGTAACTCGTAATAACATAATGAGTAAATATGGCTTAAATATAAGAAAAACCACTACTTTAATGGTAAATTAATATTCAAGCCAGGTTTTAAGTTGTTTATAATTTTACATTTTAATGTTTTTAGAATGAACCAGTTTTATTATCAATGTTTTTCGAAATAATGAATTATGATACATTTAGAAACCCATCAAGAGTTTGGAATGTATTGACTATTGAATTTATGACAGAATTAAATAAGAGATCTATTGAACCTAAGCAAAGGTATGTTATGCTGTTTGAAATATTTTTCTTTACAAACATTCAATATCAATGATTTTTTAAAAATATTTAGTGAAATTCCGTCTTCTTTCATCGGTGAAATTGTAGATTTACTAGATAATAAACTGGTGAACTTGGTTCATGCAAGGAAAATTATTTCTAAAATATTTGATGAAAAAAATAAATCTCCATCTCAAGTAAGTTCATTTTTCAATGAAACTAATAAAAAAAACTAAGCACAGTTTGATTTAAAATTTAAATTATCCAAAATTATTTTAATTTTTAGATTGTAGAAGAAAATAATTGGCAACAAATTTCGAATGATGAAGAAATCGATAAATTATGCAAAGAAGTTATGCTTGAGTATCCAAAGGCTGTCAAAGACTACCGTAGAGGAAAATTACAAGCCATACAATTTTTAATAAATCATGTTGCAAAAAAAACAAATGATCGTGCTAATATGGCTATTGTTTCAAAGAGATTAGAAGAATTCTTGAAAAATATTTAGACTGTGTTGATTAATTCTATTATTGTTTTGCATACATTAAATCTGTGGTCCGAAATACTTGTCCTAATTCACAATAACAATAATCAATTCAATCAGTTTGTTAATTTTACTTCGTTTATACTGAAATATTTTTTTTATTCACATTTTGTAGCTTAAAAAATTACTAAATTTATCATTAGTCAGGTTGTATGGATGTTGGATGTACAACTTTTGGCACCTATAAGTTTGAACGAATTAATACTTACCACTAGATACCCTTCCTCTTATACTTGAACTTTGTTGTTACTTCAGTTTTTAAATATATACCTCCATGTATATTGTATTGTAATAGAAAAATATATTTATTATTATCTGTTTTTTAATTTTTTGTTTTGAATTCAAAAGTATTAAACTAATATTATAGTTTATATTGTGCTTTACCAAAGTTATCTTAGGAAGTTGTACAAAAATCAAAGAGATCAAACCATACTCTATTCATAATAAGAAAGGTACCGGGTGGCTACCAGTTTTCGTCGGGCAACTGTCAAATTATTTTCCATCAGGTCAACCAACTGGTTCGGCATTCGGAACAATGCCAAGCCCATTCGCACAAGTTGGCCACCCGGTACCTTTCTTATTCTGAATAAAATATACATAATTGTATTAATATTATCATAGTGTTGTCATTTCTATCCCAATTTCGGTGGATTAAGTTAGATTAGGTTTCAAGTTAAAGGGTGGGAGGGACATTATAGAACTCAATATAATATGCATATTGTTGTATGTTACTTTTATTTGTGACCTGCAGAAAAAACCTTTAACAACTGCGAAAATCATAATAAATTATCTGAATAAACAATTCGCTCGTTTTTTGTGTACCTGTCTCTAAGTCTGGAGAAAATATGATCATCAGTGTACCGGTCTTTAGAATTCATTGTTATTTATTTAGATAAAGATGGGAAATGTTTCTAAATTGAGATATCTTAATTTGTGGTGATCACAATATTGAGGGCCTCATTCAAAAATATTTTGGAGGCCCTCACCCCATAGATATGCCATGTGCGTAGGGCATATATGTGAACAGGGTGTAGCACTAACGCACTGTAGCCAAGTCTCCCAAATATTAGTCGACAATAGTTTTATTTTTTCATTATAGTTGTAATAACTCGTATAGTCTATATAAGGATGTTAAAAATAAGTTTTTACTTTTTATCATTGTTTTCAACATAAAAGCCGTACTCTACAGCACGTGTTGAGACTACTGAGTATTTTGCAGTGTCTGGAGGTACGTGATATTCTAAACACGACACTAGTCACTACAGTGTCTTGTCTTTCGTGTCGTAAGTCATTTGTGGTTGGATCAGAAGGATTGAATTTAGGAACAACATAGAAGGAAGCATATATTGGTAGGTACTTATATACCACCGTCGGCTGACCAAGGCGCCTAAGCCTTGGAAAAATTATCATAGTTGTCCACTACTCTTCTGGTCAATATAGTTTTTATTACCATAATATTATTATATTAATATCATTATTAATAATAAGACATGTTGAATTAACAATTTGTGAGGAGGTAATTTAACTATAAAGGGATCAATAGTACAATACACAAACATTTAAAAATACCATTCGACAATATTGTTGAAATAAAAGGATACATCCATTTTAATTGTAACTCATTATTACGTAAAAACAATAATGGACTAAACCCTTCACAAATCAGACTAAGCATTAGACCTTTTTACATTAATTAACAACGAATTTAATACAAAATGAGTAATTTTACCACGTCAGAATATAAACTGTTTTTTTAAAATTAACCTAATTTTTATCGCTTAGGTACCCTACGGGCAAATCATTATCTAGGTCAGCGTTTTTTAGCTTGTAGCACGTGGGTCCTTAATAAATCAATTTTTCGAAATGTAGACACCTTATAGGTACCGACGTTTTTCCGAATAACAAAATTTGCAACATTTTGAATGTTATCATAAACAATATAATAATACTTATTTAGTGTGCCTATGCTACGGATCAAATAAGCAGGAACACAAAAACACATTACATTTTATACTTTATTTTTATTACATAAGTTTATAAAATTTATTCCACAAATTTATTTACTTAATGCGAAGCATGTGTTGCATTTCAGGCATCAGTTTTTGGACATTGGGCTTAAAGTTTACTCGTAAGCTTTAATCATAGTTTGAACTAGTTTTCCGTGTGGCTTTGAAACTTGTTTGTAAGACAAATAAGAGTGGAGAATGTTTTTCGCATAAGCAAGTTGTGGAGAATTGAATTAAAACTTTCAGAGCTCTGTACTTAATATTTCTCTATGATTTTTTTTCATACGTGATATTAGAAAATGTTTAACGACCATACTATATTAAATTCAACAGTAGTTTTTAGCTATAAATATAAGACTATCTTTTTCCGATAATGTCGGTTAATTCATTTGATGAGTATAAATCAAAATATGTCGAATCCACACGTTTATGTAAATAATATGGCCTGTGTCCATTGCCGGAACCACTGCGACGATTGGACGAGCCATATCCCACCGTAGTAGGTATAAGTGTTGTGTACCCCAAGTCCCCAGCCCCCAAGGGATCGTGTCCTTGTGAATTATGTTGTTCAAATTATTTTGTATCAGAATATAAGACATTATAATAGAATAAAATCTATCCGAATGAGTCATTGACAATTAATCAATTAATAATGTTCAATTATTTTTCTAATAGTTACTTTGGTACTTATAATATGTTGTTTAATCTAATAAAATAAGTAATAACTGAAAATTATATTTGAACATTCTTCGAATAACTTATTTGAATACTAATTAATGTTTATGTTTTAAAATTATTATTCAAATGTTTAAAATATAATCATTTGAATAGTTTTTTATCCGATCAATTTCCTACTTTGATATAAAATAACATGGACTAAATAATTTATAAGATAAGTATAAAGTCCCTTAAATTTTACATATAAAAACATATAATCATGGAACAACAGTGTAGTAAAGTATTTCTTCTAGTATTTGAAATTTAAATAAATAATAATTATGAAAATTATAATTAAAATCTTAAGCAATAATAATTAATAATTAATACACTAATAACGAATACATATAGAATAAAATTTAAAATTAATAATTTTAATTTAATCTAAGGCTAACATTTATATGTTTTTTGTAATCTATTCGGTTTTATAAAAATTCTTTTGGATTCTATGTGAAGTGATTTTTTAACAGTATATTTGTTTGGACAATCTTTTGTTATTATAATTTAATGTCTTAATACTTATACTTTTCATTAAAATATATGTGAAACTTAAAAGTTTTTTTAAAACGCCTATAAATCAAAACTTTTTGTACGATTTGAGTAGAACAAAGAATTAAATTTATTTAAGTTTAAAATGGATAGCTCGACAGGCATTATAGTGGTTCTTTAAATGCTGCACGTCATACACTAGGATTAATTTTCAGAATTCAAAATTTCAGGTACTTTATATCATATTATTAAGGATAGTATTCAATTAGTGCAACGGCCACAAACGGCAATAAATGATAGATCTCAAAAAGCATTTTAAAAATCTGCCAGTAATTTTTGTTTGTTATTAAATGAGTAATTCGGCGCTGTGGATATGCAATTTAATAGCGCCAGTGTGTAGAAGCCACAGCAAAATTACATAATTAACAATGCCTTTTTCAATTTATCGACGAGTCCAAAAGTAATAACTAATCTTCCTGTGGAATTTCATATCAATCATAATTTATAGTAACAGAGAACACACCCCATTCACCACACAATATTGTAAAAATGAATTAAAAATGAATTACTTTTAAATTTTAATACATTTTATAGTAATATGACATATTATATGTAGCAACCGTGTACAATTTTTTTTTATTTCAATGTACTTATTTTAATTTTTATTCATAATATATATTTCTTTAATTTACAAACTTTGACTATTTTGACAACAACTTTTTTATTTACAGCTTGCGGCTTCTGAGGTCACACTCCAACACAACTATTATATATTTTAGATTCTGAGCGGAGCGATGAATGTACTAATTTTACAATGATGTTTTTTTTTATTTGTTGTGTCTGTGTACATGATAAGTAGAAGAAATAATGTTTCGATTTTCAATTTGAGCATATTATCCGAAACGAAAATGAATCTAGTTTTTGCATTTGGGTGGTCAAAATTAAAAATTCCTAGTAATTTTCAAAAGCACCGGTAAAAACAAAAAAGCTTTATTTCCAATCTATTTATCATCATTATTGCATTATCTTATATTATGATATTCATTTTTTTTATAAACTGATAGGTACACTTTTTTTGCTCAGTCAAAAAAATTGAAAATTAATCAGGTTCTTCTTAAATTGTTTATGCTTTGATTTAGTAAAAAAGTTGAGCATAAATTTACAATAATTTTTTATGGGCGTTTGAAGTTTTTTAATTTTTAAATTTGTTCAACAAACCTATATTATACCCATTTCTTCCTTAAATAGTATAAAGTAAAATAAATTACTAAAAGTCGAGTAAAATCATTAAAACATGTAGTAAAATATACTGAGCATTAAATGCTAGTAGAAAATCACTGTTGTGGTCGTTTTCCGTATGTGATGATTAATTATTGAATTCAAATTTAACACATCCATTAGTCATTACGCAGTGACCTATACTCAATGATTTTGACTTGACATTTTTAAAAAATGTTGTGGCGTCTTATAACCAAATAATGTATATAATATATGTACACATTATTATTCTTGATTTCTGACATAACTCAAGTATTGTAAAAATCATTTCAAGTGACGTCAACATCTTGACATGCATGTTTTCCCGCCGTCTCGATGTTCGCGACTTTACTCAAATCCCGTAAATTCTGTTGTACGTTGGCCAGGTGCCACCGTCACGTCACTCCAGTACCCTGATACCCTTCAAAATGATTTTTTTGACTTGACATTCTCACAACATTTTGTAACCATTTTGTTACCAAATGTATATCTCAAAATTTATGTCTTCTGATATAACTCAGTAATATAACTAATTTTAGTAAAACTAATTTTAAATAACCCCAAAACTGTAATAACACGGTGCTTATTCTCTTTAAATGACTTTTTTGATTTTAATATTTTAAAGCTTGAATATTGTGTAATATTGTGTAGATGAAATTTATTGTGTAAATTCATATTTATAATTTTATAAATTATAATTTATTTTACTAAAACCAATATTGTTTGTTTTTTTGGTCAAAATAATAAAAATCGATTAAGAAGTTCGTATTATTATGGGCAATGTGTCAATATGTTGACTTTCTAAATAAGACGTGTGTATACGCAGTGATAGTGGAAGATTTTGAGGGGCCCTGGGAAAATAAAGTTTTTGGGGCTTTATAACTGCGAAGTCTGTCGCTTTTTCTAGCCCCGGCACCGTGAGTAAGTTATATTAGAAAACTCTACGCGGTCGCTTACTGCAGACTACCTATTTGTATTTTTTTCTGGAAAATCTCTCTTTCTTAGTTGATAACTTTATATCTCTATCAATTTTTCTAGTATATTAATAACCGTATATAATATTTAAAATTAAAACAAATAATAATGATGAAATATCATAACTTTTTCGGCATAGATATTAAAATAACGAGAATAATGTACCCAGCAATCGTACAATCCAGGTACATTGACTTCTGGCTTAATTATGTGGGGATCTGCATACATAAATGCTCTGTAACCACTAAAATGTAATTCAGATAATTCTAGTTAGAATTGTACAAACAATTATTACAATAGCAACTATAGTACGGATGATTTATTTAAAATTCTTAAAGTTTCCTCACTATATCAACTATATGATAAAATGTCGATAGTAAAATTACATAAAAATAAACAAACTTCAAACATTCAAATAAGAAAAAAACAAGAAGTACCATTGAAGATAACTTAATTCCAAATACTGATGGAAAATTGTTATGTTAATAAAAGGATATAATTATTCAATAAATTACCATATAATATTAAAGTTATTGAAAGTAACTCTTATGATTTAAAATTGTAACAAAACAAATGTAATTACAGTTATTTCATTGACAGTCCCAACTCCCAATTCTATGTTATTAGCACTTTTTTTGTAAAATTCTATAGTTAATTATAATATAGTTAAGGTTTACAATTTACTTAAACATTTTTACTTTTGTAGCCCGATCTTAAAATAAAATTTCAAGAACATTCTATATCAAGATTCATGAAATTCTTTAGTTTCCAGTACTATTAAACTATCACGGCAACATATCAAAATTATTTTTATATCTTCTCTTAGAAAAATAAAACAGTTAAAATAAATGTTTATGTAATTAAATTTAAAATAGTTTGTTTTTTTGATTATTTACAGCATCCAAATAATTATTATTGAAATGGATTAAAATAAAAATAATAATAATAATTTATATTACATTTTGATAGATTACAATTAAAATAATTTCCCTTTAAAATGTCGACAACATTTTTTACAACTAGAGTTAATAATTATTTACTTATCCAACATCCAACAATAACCAATAATAAAATAACTTTAGTTATTTTCATAACTCTTAATAAATTATATTACATTATAGATTTTAAAAATCTATTAATTTTATTATTCAATATTTATTTAAACAACTTTACCTTCAAAAAAATAATCTATTTCTAACGATCTGAATGATTTTTCTATGTTTGGCAAACATTTCTTGACACACCTTTGTAGTTAATTTTTTTTTTGGTTTTCCTTCTTCAATAACTAAAATAATTTGTTGATCTTCTGTCGGAATAAGATAAAATTAGAACTATATACTTAATGTTTTAGAGATACGCACAAGGCGTTCACCGTCTACCGTGTATTATAGATATAGGTAGCACCTGTTTATTATTTACCAGTTTTCTGTCTATAACTTCATTTTTAAATAATATCCACTATGTACTGATAATTGATGTGTCACAATTTATTAGTATAATATATATTATTTAAATTATTAAGTATTCAATACATGTTTAAGATCACTGTATATATAATATATATTATATGAATACTATGGGTAATGTATATTTTTCTGTGGTATAGTATTCTAGTCGTAAAAACAATCGTTTCAGTAACTCGGATACAGATTGTTTGGAAAATATTGCCTGTCGACAACGGATTTGAAATCGTCTGTCATGTGTGTAGGCGAACGAGAAAAATTACAATGTACGACGTACGTAGTAATCTATTGAAGATAAAAGAAAATGTACAATATCAATTTTAATATTATAATTTATAAATTAATGTTTATTGAATATTGACGTTTCTAATAAATATATTAATACTACAATATAGGTATGAATATTAAATAGAACCATATATCTATAGTCTATGCGTAGGTATAGTAATACGATGGTATGCTGAGAAAGTATTTATATGATATTATATTTTTTAGTAGATTAAGTTTCCAAAAAGTCGATAAATGATATTTAGTATTGCATCTTTACCCGATATAGCTTATAAGTTCATGACATATTAACATAATAATATATTATAAATTTAAATGCATTTTTGAAGTTCAAATCAATTTAATCATTTTTGATGAATAAATTATATTATAAGTTATTTAGTACTCTATATAGAGAATTGTAACGCACAACGCACTACTCCTTTTTATAGTTCCTTACTTCCTTCTCATCGTACCTCAAACGCTTTATAAAAATTGTAAAGCCATTTTACTTTTGCTCATCAAAGTTTCGCCGTTACCGGATTAGAATTTCAAAGTAGTACACACACAAACGTGTGATCGCTGCGATTATGTCGATTTTCAAGGGTATTCGCATTTACGGCGTGTGTTCCTATATTATATAATAATTATACGATGTACACTATACGCACAATACACATAATAAACTATTATTTATACGCGCGTTAATAAAAACAATCTCCGCCGGATAGGCCGGGCAATAATCGTTTTTGGCGAGAACCCGAGCTCGCGGCCGTCGATGAACGGGGGAAAAAAATTCTGTCTGCCCGATGGATGATGTTCGGCATGCTGCACCATCCTCGACGGCGATTGAATCTTTTTGATTTTTCCGTCGTCGACCTACCACCAACAAACAGTTATTTAATACTCAGTTGAGCCATTAAATGCGGTGTATTATTATATATACCATCACAATCATAGGCGAAATCGTGTATGAACTGCAGCGTCCGTCATTTACATTTTTTCCATATTGGATATGGGTATACCTACGCATATTTCTATGCAGAAAATTCAGTCTATAGACTTTATCCATTTTTTGGGTGAACCTATTTGAGAAGTGGGCCAATAATATCGGGTTTTATATGCGCAAAATGTATACATTGCACGTTTGTATATATATTGCCCGGTCCAAAATATGACGACATGACAGCTGTGATGTGCAGATCACATAATGTAGTTTCGATGATGTGTCACGCGTGCTACACATAATATATACGAACTGCACCGAACTCGATATATGTATAGAGTGGCGTTCTATTAATTGGAACGAGTTAAGCGCGCGCCGTGGCTCTTGACCCATATATACAATCCGGCGCACACAAACATAAGGCGGCGGCGGCGGCGGCGGCGGCGGCGGTGGCGGCCACGGCTCATCTCTCTAGGGCGCGCGCAGACTCCCTAGCGCGGCCGTCGTCGGCGTAGGCGCACAACGACGGCGGCGGCGGCGGCGGCGGCGGCAGCGCTCGGCCGCTTTACATACAGCTTTAGTGTGTGTGGTGCGCGCGTGTGTGTATAACGTTGGTGCCGTTTCCGCCGTCTTCGTCGCTCGTTTATATAAATAGAGGCGTCCCGACGTCCGTCGTCGTCGTCGTCGTCGTTGTCGCCGATCGCTTGCTGCTTGGCTATCTGGCGCGCGCGAACGTCTTCCGTAACGCACGGCGGCGGCCCGGTCGTTTTATTATTAACGCGCGGCGTTCAACTCGCGTATAATATTATTCGCGTTACCGTCACGTCTGCATCACAACAATATATTATAATATACATAGACGCGTAACGCGTCGTTACCCGTACGTGATTATAATTTTAGTACATTAATAATAATAATAATAATAATAATAAGAAGAAGAATATACCTACGTAGTCTTGTGCACCGCCGCACTACGAAGGTGTTTACGAAATAATACCGTTACGGACGTCGTCGCGCCGAAACGCTCCGAACGCCGATAACGTTCGCCGTAGACTTACGCCGACCGGTGTTATTGCTGTATATCATCGTTCGCGCTTTCCCGTCAACGCACCCGACCCGTCGCGTACCCACTCACCACCCACGCGGAACTCGTTTACACGCGCGTGGCCGACGTTCTCGAGCCGTGATAGTGGTCCGTCGCCGGCCGACGGTGGTGTACGAAGCGACGACATCGCGTTATTGTTGGGTGCACGGCCAGGATCGAGTCCACGTGACCAGGAATACTCCAGGGGGTTGTCGTCGAGCGGAACACTTCAAGTATACTATAGAGGACGGCGATCGAAACACGTAGCGATCGCGTCGTCGTCGTCATAACGATATATGGAGACGAGCCGACGTCACGCGACGACCGTGCGCCGAGACGGTGATGGTGACGGTGCAGTGATCGCGAAGACGTCGACGACCACGACCACGACCAACACCATCACCACGTCGGTGGCGACGGCGGCGGTGATTGCGCGGTGCTGGTGACGGCGACAACGTGCCCCATTGTACGGCGACGACGACTGCTGTAAAGGTTCGTCCGGTGCAGTCTCGCGCGGCGGTCATAAAGGCGTTAAATGACATCGGTTCCGGCGGAGCGGGTTTCGGAATTATGTTGCCGCTGGTGGTCGTCGTTGGACAACGTAGTAGTGGTCCGGCGCTGTGTAAGTAAAACGCAACGGAATTATATATTAGTATTATTATTATTATTATAATATCGTAGGTATGCGCCGTGTATAAATAAATCAATGCCAAAAATGTTTGCCAAAAAGAAAAAATAAAGAGAACGAGAGCCGAAACATTGTTCGGCGCCGGGACCCGGCCAATATGTCCCTGCTCGCGCATATACTATATAATATATAATAATATTATATTGTATACACGGATTACGCCATTATATATTATACAGCGTGGGTCAGAAATTAGTTACTCAGTCCTATACAACTCCTCTCCATGTGTAGGTAGGTGCACACACTACGGTGTGTAGTGTTCACCGGGCAGTATATTATCATTATATAATCATTGTCGATTTGATGGATGAATAATTAGGCACCGCCGCAAGTCTACTGTAACGGAATCAATTAACTAACAAATCAATTCAAATACAATATTGTTTACATCGAAACTGTCTAGATCAGCTATATGCCTTGTAATAGTATAATGGGTTGAACAGATCGACCCATTGTCGGTTCGAAGTGGGAAAAAAAATAATGAGATCCCTCTGTGCCTCGTACTGTATAATATACTTACTTCGTGCGTGTGTGTGTGTGTGTGTGTGTGTGTGACGTGTGTAAGAGATGAGGGTCATTCGTCATCGCTATAGCGAGTACGCGACACCGAAAAGATTGCTTTCTCGGAAACCGCACTCGTTTCTTAGCCCGAACTTTTCCGCCACCGCAGCTTACTGCCTAGTGCTTATACGTATCGACGTCTAAATTTAGTATGGGTAGTAGCCTGGTGGTTAGGTGGCAGTTTGACTGTTTGAGCAATTATTTAAGAGGACACAAATTACAAACATGGACTAATAATGAAACGATACTATAATAATGTGTCGTCGGTGCATATTATTAACACAGTGCATTTTTGTCGTTTTTAAGTGTTTGTTAAAACACGTGGTCGAGAAGAATATTATAAACATTCCGGCTAGAATAAACGTCATTCCTATTCCGAATTTCCATTTTTAGACCTGGATTAGTCGAGTTCAAGGTCAATCTCTGCACATCATAGACGCGACAAAAGTTTTAATAATTTCGAGCATACTTAGCCTGCATCGTCAGTCAGCTTTCGAATAATAAATTAAGATGCTTAATTCTTTATTGTTAAATTTTCCTTAATGTTCTTTCTTTCAATCTGGACCGACTAAAATTTGTTCTGGAATTAGTGAGTCATTCGATATTTAAAATTTTTAAATTGCTTAAATTACCGAATCACTTGTAACAAATTGGTCGTTGGCCAATTTTTAACACGTCGCATTGAGGAAAACGACCGTTCACATGTAGCTGAACTTATAGGAATAATTGTTATTGCAATTTGTAATAACTTTATAAGTTAGGGCCGTTAGGGAACACGTGCTTTACAACTATTTGTCAAATGTGTTGTCAAGATCAAAATGACTATATAAATAAATTAGCCACGACTATTATTTCTGCTTTTCATTGATATTATCTTTATATTTTGAAGATTGTTTAAACAAATTGTCAAAATGTAATGGGACAATTTTTTTTTATTTTTACCCTTGTTAAAAATTGTTTTACTTCTTAAAATTATTGAAATAATGTCATAATTCAATTTAACAAGCTATACAATTTTACAAAGGTATTCGTCAAAGCTATTCATAGAGCTGGATTTTCAAAAAATCCCTATTATTATTACTACTCATTTTTTTTTAATGTTTAAAAGTGTTAAAAATACTGTTTTAAAAATGTCCATGGCATGATCATGTGGAGATCGAGACGTATACACTGCTAGATAGGCTTTTTTTAAAAAATATTTTCAAACACAAGATATTTTACTATTTTTTTTTGATAAAATGTATATACGTACTATCAGACGAAAAAAATCAAAACTAGCAGCACCTTATACTACTAGAAAAGCAATATGAGTGTATGGAATACGTAGCAACATAGAAGGTGCTTTTTGATTACTTGATTACTCGTACGAATGGTGGTGCGGGGTAGCAGGGTAAGGTATATAGATATAAAGATTATTGTATTTTTTGGTAATGATAGCCTACATCACTGCGAGATGTTGTTACGCTGCTCATAATGCTATTGTTATACACAGTTCATATCTAGTAGGTATTATAAGGTCTATGAGCAGCATTGTCAATCATTTTTCCAACATAATACTCAGATGTAATGATTGAGTGATACGGTTAATAATTATGATATGGTGATAACTATCTTGTTTACAACATTTCCGGTACTTAGGTAATCAATAATCATTATAGTATATTTGAAAATGGGCCTTTCTATTGAAAAAATTTATGTTTAATATATTTAATTGAAAATTTTTGTTTGTAGTCAATTGTACGTCGGTCTTAAATAGATATTCCTACGAATTATCGAAAGCTTGCCTCATAGACGTTCAAGTTATCGAGGTTCCACTGTACATTAATAGCACTAAAAAACGATTTTCTGACCTGAGATCATAGTATCACTCTCGTAATCCATATAACAAAGAGTGGCTTTTCATAAGAAATCAAAAATATATTCGATTTGCAGACCAAAGTGATAACTTAAAAACATCCTTTTTTAAAAAATATGGTGGCCTGGTAAAGAAATTTGGTCCTATAAAAGTCCTCGCGACAAATTGTGGACCCCCATGATATAGTCTTAACTACACCACTGAAAACTTTTGTATGATTAAATTAAAATGTTTGTAAATTGTAAAATTTAAGTAATGAGACATTGGGACATAAAGTGTACAGTGAGTAACATTTTGTCTTTGGGCTGATTTAATTAAAACTAGGGAGCAGGAACACATTTTTTTGAAGGCATAAAGTAATTATGTACATATATCGTTTTACAGTATGTATATTTTGGGCAGTGGGTAGAGTCGGTTGTCTGTTGCTTATTAGTTGTTACTGAACCTAACCTAACTAAACCAAATCAGTCATCACTTTCAAATTATTTCACGTCATTGTTGTGTATTTTTTTTTCACAAAAATAGGTACTATAAAAATGTTAAACTAAATTATCATAGTATCTATATTTGAAATAAAAACATTATTATTTATTATTAATTATCTAAGAGCTGGGACTTATTTTTAAATGTGTTCTGATTTTATATTTATATCAACGATATCTCAGTGTTGTATAATTTGCATAGAGCTTGTATCGCTTGTATAGCTAAGTTATCTCCATAACTTAAATATTAATGAACTTCATGAACTTGTTGAGGACAACAAAAAATGTACAAAATAAAGCAATAGATAGGAATCTAAATAAAGTAGCAAGACTGTCGTCTGTCAGTATTGAACTACCGTTCGCTGGACGTTGGTGTTATTAACGGTAAGACAAAATTCACAGTTAGTAGTTTTATATGAATTGAAAATAATGCTAATTTATTTAGTTGTAGATACGATTTTAAGACAAATTAATATTTTCTACAACCCTTAAAAATACATAGTTATCATGTAAAAACACGCCGTAATTAATTTATAATTTATAGTCTTGTTTATAAATTATAATTATATAATCTTCCTGACAGGTATAAGTATAACTGCTCAAAATACATCAAATAGTAGCACGCTACTCGCTCGTTTTCCTCTACAAGGAAAATCTATAAATTGTAAATACTCGTATATTTTTGTTAATAACTAATAAGTGGGGCTCGAGACTATTAGGAATTTGAATGTTTTTAAATAATCATTAAAAACATAGCTAAGTAATATAGGAATTCGTTTCATATTAATAAAAATTTATAGTTGCATATTTTGCATTTTTGACCATTTTTCAAGTTATCAGTGCATATTTCACATTTTATTTATACAAGGAGTAAGTTTTTTAATTTTATAAAAAAAGTTAATTTTAAATAGATTTCCTGGACCGGGTATAAATATATAAAAATTAATGTTGGCGTCTTTCTTGCCTATCATTATAATTGCATTGTTACTTATCGGTAATCGGTATAACACACTCGTGATTCCCGATAGGCGATAATGATACCAAAAAAACATTTTATAGACTATGATTAGTTATAGATAGAGGCAAGACGGTCTCGCGAATAGTAAAAGTTGACAGTTGGTGTTGTGCGTTCTTCGTATTTTTGTTTTGTGAAGTGTTTTTTCTTTCGAGTGAGCCCATAATAAAATAATTAAAAAATGCCTAGACCTAAACCAAAACCGTATGATCGGTTTAACGATTTTGTAAAAGAAAATAATTTTTTTTAAATGCATATTTTTATGGAATATTTATTGATTCTTTAGGGCACAAATACATGCATATTTTAAGGTTTTTAAGGGCACGAAGTCCCTAGCCTTACTAATAAGTTATCACGATAGCGAAAATTTTATGAAATTTGGCCTCGAAGAACAGAAAAAAAATTGTATCCATATTCCATACCAATAACAATATTTGTATACACCATATAATTTGTAATGTACCTACATAAATGCATGCCATAACATACCTATAATCTATGTATAATTTTGGTTATTACTATATCTACAAAAATATTCTGAAAACTGATAAGTAAAAAATTACCTCCTCGATCATCACATGCAATGTCACAATTTGCATTTGAATTTTTGTTCTGTGAACGTTATGAACTATGCTATAATTTGTATTGACTCTATATCAGAAAAAATATATTTAAATAATTACCTATTGTAGTATTTCAATATTTCATTACATCAGATTTCAACGTTAATGCAATAACTAAACAGTGAATTAGTTACAATAATTAGGTACCTACCTACTGGCTACTAGTTGATACCATTGATTATAAATATAATTAATAAATGTTACTACTTATATTGATTTAAAGTATTTTTTCAATAATAAAATGAATTTCGTTTTAGTTTATGATTGTGAAATGGAATTTTCATATAATTATATTTATAAAGTGTGTTTTAATTGTAATATATGCTTGTATTTTTATGTTGCCATATAGTACCTGTCAATTATTTAAACACCGAAACATAAAATATTATGTATTTTTT